GGCTAAGAGGCGCCAGATCGAGTAACTGATAGATTGACCGCTTGTCGGAAACCTCACGAAGAAAAAATGAGACTTTTGACGCGGTGTGGTCGAACTCTGTTCGAAACTCTTGAGTCAATGCACTGGTAAAACAAGTGTTTAATTTTGCACGTCAATTGCCGTTTAAGTTCAAGTGTGCATTTTCTAGACACTTTGTGATGTCTAACTATGTTATACGTCAGTTGGTGTTTAAACTTTCGACACTTCCGAAACGTATAGCAGCTGCACACCGTATGGTTCCCTATTGACGGCATAGAACTGTGTGTGTCCAAGTGTGCAGAATTTAAACGTTTACAAAACGTCTAAATTTGCACACCACGCAAGTGTGCAACTTGAGTTAAACACCATGTAATGTGCAAAATCACAACTTGCACACGTTGGTGTGCAAATATTGCACACTTGTTTTACCAGTGTGGTTGCTATCGACATTGCGGTTCACTACAACCAGAAGTTTGGTAGAATATTCGGATATTTTATTATACACTGAGAGAAAAAGTAGGTAGGTTTACAGGAAATTTTTCTTGACGCAAGTTGTAAAATTACAATTTGTAATCGTAAAAATTGATGCAGTATGTATCGTCTTCAAATCCCTTGGCGAGTATAAAATGTGCTGTCGTTAATTTACAACTTTATTATAATTCGAGTTTACAATTTTTTTTTGTAAATTTACGATGATATTTTTCACAGTGTACCAATTGACTTAAACAATCGAACGGTTTGACACCCGGAACAGAAGCCTCTTTTCTCCCACGCGCTATAGGTGCGACTAAAAGGGCGAGATTGGATACAGAGCAAGCACCTCCTCCTGAAGCGTTACGAGTCCCCGTGAGTGTAGCACTCACCCTGTGGCACTACGGTGTAACCCTGTACAGCACCTACCGCAATCACCTCCAGATTATAGTCGCCGCTGTGTGTCTGCCTCCCGCCGGTACTGTGACTGCGATAAGGGAAGCTCCCCGGTGCGAGCCGCGACCCGTCTGGATAAACGGTTAGGAACGTGATAATAAACGCCCTCCCCCCCCCCCTCTCTCTCTCTCCGCGTCAATAGAATGTACTGATCGATGGTACTCTCGTAGGCCTAAATACAATAGTACTTTAGTACCTACTCTGTCAATCCAAATGTGTACATGGTACACATTAAAGAAAGTGTACATGGCATGTATGCTTTAATTAATGTGTACATGGCTATGTACACATTTATAAATGTATACATGCCCATGTACACGTCTTTTAAAGTATACATACAACCGTTAGTATACATGGCATGTACACATCTTTTAATGTGTACATGCCATGTACACTTTCTTTAATGTGTACTATGTACACATTTGAGTTGACAGAGTACATTAAACCTAATAAACCAAATCATATCCAAATTAATATATATCTCTCACACTTCCACCCACTCACACCTTCCCTCCCACCCCCACACACACACTTGATGGACCTCTCACCGTGAGAGTCAAGTACCCACTGTTAAAAATACATTGTGGTTTTCCAACACTTGTTCGATACGGAGCAACTGTGAAATCCCAACCCTGTTCCGTCGTCAAAAATCGTGAATGTCGCTATCTCAAGTGGTAATGGTGTGAGACCAGTCGCAATACTTCTTAAGTTAATCAATTTCTGATAACGAGGAAGAGTTGTGATTTCCTCAAAAAATCACAAAGAGTTATGGCGATTTTTTTTACGATGAATTCTTTGTAAAGTCCTCAATATTTCGTAGCGGCAGTTAGAAATGGAAGTCGATGGATTTCGAACGTCGACGTCGCTCGAAAAACGTGAAATCGAGATGCTGAGGTCGAAACGACATCGGATCAGCACCGATGCAGTTGTCATGCCTGCCTGCCCGCTCAGCTGCTCTGCCCTGGCCTGGTCCTGCACTACAATAATTGCCTATTGCTTCCAGGCGTTATCTTCCTTCATTCTTTCACGATGACAGCGTTCTCACCTAAATGCGTCATTCCTACTACTCGAGACATGACTGATTTCCTAAATACCCGCCTCGGTCACCGCGTGTACACCTCTTCAAAGGCAGCTGATGGCCTGGCCCTACGTCAATGGCCTAATAGGACGACGGGTCCACAACGGTCACCCAATCAGACAGTAGGTGTCGATGAAAATGTTTTGTCAGCAGGAAAAGAAACAATCTTGTTGTCCTCCGCCATCCCGGTTCTTACAAGGGAACCTTTTCAGGTGTAAATCTCCGATTTCGTTGAAACTTGGAAAATTTGAAGGTTATTTATGTAGAAACCGGATTACGGTTTTTATGCATGGTTTTTGTGAAATTTTTTGTAAAATGTAAGGCAGTGTTGTAAGGGGTAACTCATCAAAATAGCGCCCTCTGCACCAAAATTTTGTCCGTTTTGCTCTATTTTGTACCGTTAAGGCGGTAGAGGGATATTTGGGACAAAAAACAGTGTAAGGCTTAAGTAAACCCCTAGTAACTGTGAGGTTCAGGAAAAAAATTCAAGTGCCATCCGACTTCTAGTACAATAACCTTTAAATTTTCCGAGTTTCAACGAAATTGGAGATTTACACCTGAAAAGGTTCCCTTGTTAGTCCGTCTGACGGAGGGGGCTGTGTACTGTGCGGGTTGCCTTTTTTCAGGGGTGTTGTAGGACACAGTGCCTCCCTACCCTGAGGGACGATTTGGGCCGACGGGAGAGGGGGGGGGGATCACCCCTTCACCGCCCCTCCCCCCGCAAAACCGCGTCTGCTTCGTCTCTTGCTCTCCCGCCACGATAGTGGCGAAAAGTGCCCCTGGCGCACGGCGGGGATGCATAGCAGAGCATGTCCTGCTGCTGAAGCATATAGGTACTTTACAACCTGCATCTTTCGTCTAGTTGCCAGGATAGTAATGTCAAAATGGCCACATTCTTTTACCTTCACCATCAAAATATAATGCGGCTAGGTAACCGTTTAAAGAGGGTCATTGCCAGGCCTTTTTGACGTCTGTGCTCGACTGGTCACTACCAAACACGTGCCACACCTTTAGATTGTGGGACGAAAGTGCAAAGTCCCTAAACCTGAAACGCTTTGTGCCTGCGACATCTTTTGCTGTGCTTTGAGCGGTTCGTTATCTGAGTTTGTAGCGTCGGGCTCTGTACCGGCCGTAATCATCGTGGCAATTATTTACTCCCACTTTATTATACTGGAATACCGGGCTTTCGAGGTTAGGTTTGTCACTACTTAACGTCTGCTTTTGAGCTCCTGTGAGGTCATGGCCGCCATGGATATTGGGAGGCGGAGCCAAAGAACAGGGTGTCATCGCACCTTTGACCTCCGAGATAGTTGCAAGGGTACACTACAGGTCTGCTGCAGCCGGTGCAGTGGAAGAGGAGAAACGAAACCAGAGGTCAGATTTTACGAAGAGATTAGGATTTTCGCTCTGTATTTAAGCGGTGCAGCTAGATTGTCTGACCTATTTTTCTCCGACCTCGTCGATATGCTGAAATTTGGGAAGAATGTGCTTCAAAGACGGACAGGCTTCAGAGGCCACGAAGGGGTACTTTAATTGCAGTGAGGGAAAGACCGCGACTATGACGGAATGTGCAGAGGCCTACGTCACAAAACGCTTGGGGTTCAGATGCGTCGTTCACTAGTTTCGTTCCTAGTGCACTGAACCCTATCAACTTTATGCTCGTTTGAAAGGTCTTTTCAAGAGAAAGACGGTGGTGGTGTCCGCAAGATTCTAATCCCCTATCGCCAGGGGATAATTGAGAAAAAGCTAGGAGGTGCTTATTCGATTCGTCGTTCAAAATTATGAGGATTAGATGTGTCCGAAGCCGGACCCGTCAGGCGCGGTTTTAAGTAGGTCTGACGGAGGGGGTGATTTGCTGTGGGTTGCCTACTTTCAGGGGTTTTGTCTGACAAATTGCCTACCCACCCCAGGGGGTGATTTGGGCCGACGGGGGGAGGGGTGGGGGGCGATCGCCCCTTCGCCCCCCCTATAAAACCGCGCCTGGGACCCGTTACCGATGTCAAGTTTTTTCGTCCCGTCACCTCCTATATTATTGGCTATGTCCAACCCGTCGCCAATGTCCAGTTTTGTTCGCCCCGTCACCTCCCATTCTATTTCTATGTCTACCCCGTCACCTGGGTCAAGTTTTTTGTCCACCACGTAACCTTCCAAAGTTATTCTATGTCCGCCCCATCACCAAAATAGAATTCTGTCCGCCCTGTCACCTTCCATTCCACTTTTATGTCCACCTCGTCACCTCCTGGTCGCCTTGTATGTGCCCCGTCACGTGTGTCTGCCCCGTTACCGCGAGTTTGGCCATCGCTGGCTCTCAAAAACGCTTTTTCGGAATCGGGCAGTTTTTGAGAATCACTAAATTGTGCTCAGGGCTCTATGGGCGGCCCTCTGTAAATAAAAAAGACAATGTTTATTTTTCAACCGAGTGAATACCTAATTAAACTGTCGATATTGTGCAGGATGTGACAGCAGACTGACAGACAGTGGTTAGATAATGCAGAAAATTAACGGGAGAGACAAACCAGAACTCAGAATTTCCAGTCTTATTCCCCAAAGTAAATCTTTACGAACAGTATCAACGGCCTTGAGATAAGGAGGCGGTTGATTGCACTTCGTCTACCGTGTCGTCTGCAGTGATTCGCCGCTCGAGCTATATTAAGTTTTCGCCGCCACTCTAACGGCAGTCTGGCACGTGGCGCCGTACAAGACGCACCTTATTCTAAACCGCTAGACTTCGAGGTACTTTCGCGTGGCTGGCGCCGGCTCTCTGCCGCTTTTCAGTGCAAGCACACAGCCTTACTTTCAGGCGTTTTCAGTCAAGTACGCCGTGACAGTTGAGTTATTCTCTGCAGATGGACGTGACCATGCTGGCGATGGTGCTGGTGGTCCTGGCCTGGGCGTTTCACTTCTTCAACAAGCAGCGCAAGTGGACAAGGGCCGTCGATCTGATCCCCGGGCCACCCTCGAGCATCGTGATGGGCAACACCTGGGAGCTAATGTGGAAGTACAAGTTCAGTAAGTCTTCTGCCGGCGTTGTTGTTCCACTCTCTGAATCTGTTCATGCGTATAAGCAAAAAGACACAAAAAAA